AAGACGGGGCAGAGGAACCAACCCAAAAGCTCTCTCCAGAAGACGCGGTGACACGGGGCTGCCGGAGCTCGCTGGCCAAGCACCCAAGCGACCAAAGGTTTTTACAACAACCAGCCTCCAAACTTCACCAGATCCCAACAGAAACCTGGTGCAGAAGGTTTCTCCTCCAGATGCCTTCAAAACAAACCTCTAACTTCTTTATCTAAAGTTTTCTGAGTATCAATGGACAAGGGGCTGTGAGCCTGACTAATTCTGTCACTGCAAAATTAAGAAAGGGAGAAGAAAAGATGGACTTGGCTTCTCCACGACACGGCAGCACACGCTGCTGCAGTTAAGGATTAGGCTTCATTTCATCCTAACAACTTGGCTGCAAGGCGACCATCCTTCCTGGGAGATACAGTGGGGGAAAAATGCCTCTTTTTTGTCATTACTCAGTGATTTATTCCCAGCTATAATCCTGGAAGGCAGCTCCGGGAGCTAGAGCTCCCACCAAAACCAGAGCACTGGGACCTCGCTGCCATCTCAGCCCTGCCCAGAGCAGCCCAGTCACCCTCTGCCACCCATTGGGACCCAGCACCGTGCTTGTCAGTAAAGATGGGGTTCAGAGTGATTTTTTTTAAGTGAAGTTTGAAGTTTCCACCTTCAGAGAAACGTGGCATGTCAACATCATGGTCGTGGCAATCCCAGGCATAAATACAGACTGGGTGGTGAGTGGGTGTTGATTGGATCGAGAGCAGCCCTGAGGAGAAGGACTTGGGAGTACTGGTGGACGAGAAGCTCAATATGAGCCGGCAATGTGCTCTTGCGGCCCATAAGGCCAACCGCGTCCTGGGCTGCATCAAGAGGAGTGTGGCCAGCAGGTCGAGGGAGGTGATTCTCCCCCTCTACTCTGCCCTTGTGAGACCTCACTTGGAGTACTGCGTCCAGTTCTGGAGCCCCCAACATAAGAAGGACATGGACCAGTTGGAGAGGGTCCAGAGGAGGGCCACGAAGATGATGCGAGGGCTGGAGCACCTTTCCTATGAGGACAGGCTGAAAGAGTTGGGGCTGTTCAGCCTGGAGAAGAGGAGGCTCCGGGGTGACCTTATAGCGGTCTTCCAGTACCTCAAGGGGGCCTACAGGAAAGATGGGGAGAGGCTGTTCAGGAGGGCCAGTTGTGATAGGACAAGGGGTAATGGTTTTAAAATAGAGGGAGGTAGATTCAGGTTGGATATTAGGAAAAAATTTTTTACTATGAGAGTGGTAGAACACTGGAACAGGTTGCCCAGAGAGGTGGTTGATGCTCCATCCCTGGAGACGTTCAAGGCCCGGTTGGATGAGGCCCTGAGCAACCTGATCTAGTTGGAGATATCCCTGTTCCTTGCAGGGGGGTTGGACTAGATGACCTTTGAAGGTCCCTTCCAGCCCTAACCATTCTATGATTCTATGATTCTATCACATCAGCTCTCCTCTGTCTTTGGGTGGGAATGATGTCTAACTGCTACAGAGTCATCTAAAGAGACTTTGATGAGAGCAAATGGATTAAAACTTGCTGTTCGAAGTAGTTCAGGAAAATAAAAATAAAAAGAGAGGCAGGTTGGGAAAGGCATCACAGAAAAGAATACTTCCAGTGCCCGTGCCGGGTATGTCGGCAGGACTGAT